CTCAATGTTTTGGGTTTAAGAAGAAGAAAATATTAGGTTAATTAAAGTGTTGTATTAGTAGAGAGAGAAGAGTGGTGCGTTTCTTTTAAGCTTAGCTCTTTTGTCTATCTTAATCACACTAATTAATAATACTATAGATATGTATTTTTGTTTACTAATCTCTGTGTTTGGTTAGCTCTCTAATTTTCCAATTTGGATTTTTGCTAAATTTACTGGTCAAATTAAGACAAGAATGAGGTTTTTTTCTCGTGACCTAAAATCGTAACCGTAATAACTGTTAACTGTGAGGAAAATAATCGCCTAAGAAGTGGTCCCAAGTCCAGATTACGTGGACAGCCACTAACAATAATTCGTGATTTTGACCCGACCGTTACGTCGGAGATGAGCTCTCTCGGCTCGTACATGTAACATGCTGATCCAATAACTTCACACACATTTTACAGCTTCAAAAATAAAAAATTCGTTGGTAATTTCTTTTGCTTTCGAGGAAAAAATAAAGAATAATACTTCTCCAAGACCACATTTGTTTTCTTTTATTTTTCAAATTAACAAAACTAATAACAACATATTTTCTCAGTTAGAGAGTTCAATAAAACCTAAATCGCATATATCGTAAGAAAAAAATATTTCATTGGAATAAATTATTAAGTAGACAATCACCCAGAGATCGGTTACAACGGTTATAGTATCTACAGAGAATAAAGTGAAAAACACAATTTGGGAATCTACTAATCTGTAAAAGTTGCTAATTATGTATGTTCAAGTGCACGAATAAACGGAAGAATGGAATCAGGATCGGATGATGAACAAAATGATGCCAAAAGGTCAGAAGAAATGATGTGCACAAGAGATGGTGATACCTCTTTGATCCATTTCATATGTTCGATTCCAATCTCAATCTCTTTCGCATCAATCACACATTTCAGCAGTACCACATGTGCACTTGTGTGTTCCAAGTGTTCTCGCTCGCGCAGTAGCTGCAACGCCTCACGAAAATGGCCTACACACACACACATAACAAAAGAATCAGCCAGAAACTTGACTTAAGGCAACAAAAAAAAAAAACCTAGAAGACATAATTGTTCTCTCACCGTTGCTGCATAGGTTTAAGATAAACGCGTTTAATACTCTTCTACCAACTGTTTTATCCCTCTCCATACACTTTCTAAAAACTTTCAAAGCAGCTTCGAGATTTGTCTCCTTGCATAGACCTTCAATGAGAGAAGTATAGATTGTTTCATCTGGTTCTATTCCTTTCTCAAGCATCTTTTGAAACAGCCTCCAAGACTCCTCTGCCTCGCCTTCCTCTGATAATTTCCTGATAAGTACATCATATGTCGTCAGGTTCATCTTGCAGCCCTCTACAAACATTTCATCCCACAGTTTCTTTGCTGGACGGATCATTTCCGCTTTGCAACAAGCTTCGATAAGAGCGTTATAGAGTGACACGTCTGGATCAAGCCCTTTCTTCTTCATTTCTTGCAGAGCACTGTAACCTTCTCTGACTCTCCCGGCCTTGCACAAGAACGATATCATCACATTGTAACTCTCAAGCTCTGAAAAATAACCTTTGCTTGACAAAAGCTCATAAGCATTTATCAGCTTGTCGCTCTTGTCGTGTCGGCAAAGATTCTTACTCAATTTGGTCAGAGTCCGAATCGCAGGCAATTTCCCTGTGCTTACCATGAAATTTAAGAAGTCAACAGCAGAATCTGGATGGACTGCAGAGACTGATCCGATTAACGAGTCTAGGATATCATAATCAATGGGGAAATTTCCACTCACAATCACCTCAGCCACTTCCTTAGCCTCCGTTAATCGTTTAGCGGAAATCAAATCCAGGATATAATCTCTGTAATCGCTGCTCCTCGGTGCTACTCCGAGCTTTCTCTTCTTCTTCAAGACGACCTGTCTCTCGTACAGATTACCAGATACTACAAATGCTTCAGCTATGATTCTATAAGCCATAAAATCCGGTTTGCAATCTATGTTTCTTAGCTCTTCCAAAATGTAAAAAGCGTCCATTTCTCTAGAAGACTTACAAAGACCATGGAGAATCAACAATGCAATTATAGAGCCATTGATGTTCGAGTTAGCCTTTTTCACCTCATCCACCAATCTTAAGAGTTGATCCGTCTCGGAACTTCTACAAAACCTTCCTATATACACGCCGAAGCCAAGAGTATTGAGAGAAATACCTCTTTGGCGCATTTTAACAAACAGTTTCTGAGCATAATCAGAATACCCATCAGAAGTTAGAGAAGCTAAAAGACGATTGCATACATCGGGATGAATCTCCCTACCCGTCGAAAGAGCTTCTTCTAAAACCCAGAACGCGTTCTGAGCTTTCCTACCCAACACAAGCGAATCAATGAGCGATCGATACACGGAAGAATCGAGAAGGATTTTCTGCGATTTGACCTGTTTGAAGAGTGCATCCATGGCGGAGAACTGTCGAGAAAGCGACAGAGACTTGAAGATAGAGTGGTAAGAGAAGGAGTCGTGAGAGTAACCTGGTTGCTGAGACGCCCAATTGAAGAACCCGAGAGCGAGAGAATGATGGTTCAGGAGAAACGGGTCAATGACTCGAGCCACAAGCGAAGGACTTATTGAGTGACGAAAGCCGAGACCATGGAGACTCTGTTCAACAGATGGACTCCATGTCCGAGCCGACCGAGAGCTTCCGGAAACTTTAAGAAGCTCACGGCCGATCCTCACCGAGAGCTCCGCCGCAGGTTTCATGAGTCCCGGCGAGAAGCTGACGTCAGCATTTTCAGGTTTACTACTGACAAGTTGGAGAAGGAAGAATGAGAAATTGGTGAACCAGTCCATTAGTTAGCAGTCAAATCCCTGGCCAAGCCCAAAAGTGGAACAATACAATAGTGGTTTTAATATTTTAACAATATGTTATTTTCAATTTATTCTACTGAAATTGAAGTTTAAATGTTTACATTATTTTGTTATCAATTCGATTTCAATTTACGTTGAGTCATGATAAGGAAGGGAAAAGAAAAGAAAAAAGC